TTTTATGTAAGAGCCACGGCCTTGCTACCAATACACTGTAAATGTTTATTCCCCCTTGAAAACATTTTGCACTGACAATAAAAATAAGACAACATTGAATACAGAGCAAGATCTCTAACCATGGTCTGAAACAAAAGTACACTACAGAATGACATATTTTGGAGATTTAGGTGCTGACATTTAGTGACTGTTACATAAAGCTTTCAGTTAGAAGCAGGAAATTAACATGAAAATATTTTGTTGTAAAAAATAAGATACAGTGCTATTAAACATTGGTTTAAGTCATGTAGAAAAATAAAAAAAGAAAAACATGACTGCAGTTCTACAGGCTTTTCCTTTACACCACTATTATCTTCTTTAATACCAGCTTTGCAGTTCCAGTTACTGTTAACAGACACTTGCTTGTTAAATAGTTCTCTGACAAACTGAGGAGGAGCACCAAATCAGAAGATGGTACTGGAGGCCTTCTGGTAGAAACAGGATTTAGACCTAATTGGTATGATGTCGTGTTTAGTCACACTGCATTTACCTTCTGTAGAGCCCACCTACTTTACTTCATCTTGACTTCAATCACAGATAGAAATGGTCTCAATGCAGCATAAAGAGCAAAAAAGAATGAAAATGTCCTCACAATTTCAGTCCTATTGTTAACTAAATTTTAGCAAAGCTAAGCACTAGAGACAGAAATTTTCATTTCAGATTTAACAGCAGCAATCACCTCTTAGAGAATGCTAACATGTTAAAATACAGGTATATACTCAGTTTACTACCTGACATTTACTTATACAGCTTTTTCTTACTAACTTATAGTTAGTACTACTCCTTCAAAACAAAACTTTTGTTCCAATGTCTTTACAATTAATATTAAAAAAATTTAGTAGTAAGTCACAATGTACGAGCTGCTCAGCTAACACCTGGGATTCAAGCTGCTCCCATTTGTTGTGTCAGTTTTTCTGTTTATGAATTTATTAAAAAGCATTAAGGTTATTACTAGTTATTATCTTCAAATAATATTTAGACCTATTTTAAGGTATATGCCTAGTTAAATCCTGGTTTTTAAACAGTTATTAAATTTTTCTTTTTCTTCCAAGTCGAAGTACAAGACATTTGGAGATGTAGAATATCAACATGACAAGATCCTATACCACTTACACAAGCACTGCTGGTCAAGACCTTGTATTGCTACCTTTCCTGAGCTGATTCTCTGCTGCTTTTACCACACAGCTATGAACATCAACCAGACTTTCCTGTTTGCATGCTACTTTGATACAAAAGCAGTAAAAACTATGTTAGCTGTAACAATGTTTAGTGAATATCACTGCTCGTGAAGGTGAAAGAAATATTCAGTGAAGGGAAAAGTGGAAATGGAAAAAATGGAAATACTAATACTAATGGAAAAAACACTAGTCTAACTCCACAAGTAACTTAGGAACATAACATACAAACTTCAGTGCATTAAAAGCAGTGTGATTCTTCAGCCTGGGTAACACTGTGACACTACTTTTCATCAAGTTTTGACAAGAAAGTTTCTAAGGTTCAAAGGTAGAACTTGATGATCTTGGAGGTCTTTTCCAGCCTTAATGGAAATGTATGTAGTGAATTTTTTCTACAAAACCTACAGCAGACAGCAAGAGACAAACTTTTACTAAGAGACAAACATGGAGAAATGAGGGCAAGCCCCCCACTCGACAGAGGTCACCAGCTTCCCTCAGCACTGCTCAGCCATGGACAAACTCAAATGAAAGGCATGAGGACTCATACTTTAAAAATTATCTACTAACCCTTAAAGGAGAGATTTAAATTGAATGTGGCATTAACAAGACCAAAGAGTTCTGTTAAAACCTTATCAGTCACTTGTAATTGTTGATTTCTTCCATACTAGGCATTGGCTCTGCTCCAAATTTACCTTTAAAGTTCCCCCCAAAAATTTAAATAACTAAAATGTGAACTTAAAAAAAGCCCCAAACAACTGAGTTGTACAATATCATCTATCCCAAACATTCAAAACATATTAATAACCTCAAACCCTATCTGTATTTTATACTGCTTGGCAAGCCCTGAGTTTTGACCCCTCTTAGTCCATTTTGTACTTTTACTGCCATCACCATGGCCAGAGAGCTCTGGCCTCTCGCGGCCCACACGTTCATTGTAGAGGTTTTCTCCTTCCACACCTAGAGCCTCCTTCCCTCTCTGCAAGTACGCACATCTTACCTCTGTTCTGCAGGGAATTCAGTCTGTTCTCATGGACGGGGAATAATTTCCACAGGGTACCTTCCCTTGTCTTTTTGCATAGCAGCTTTGTAGCACATTTTTTCTTCTGAGGCAACTATCCCACTTAATGGGAGGAGCTAAAACGTACTTGTTATGAGCAGGTGCCTTTGAAAGTGCCCAGCATTAAAATCAGCTTTCTCAGCTAAGGCTGGGAGCAGTTCACGCTTTCCGGGTGGGAACTGCGGGCAGAGGAGAGGCACCCTCGGGCCAGCCCGTGCTCCCGGGGGAGAGCAGCCCTGAGGAGAGCAGCCCGTGTGAAGAGCAGACCGTGGGCCCGTGAGGAGAGCGGCCCTGAGGAGAGCAGCCCGTGGGCCCGTGAGGAGAGCAGCCCTGAGGAGAGCAGCCCGTGGGCCTGTGAGGAGAGCAGCCCTGAGGAGAGCAGACCGTGGGCCCGTGAGGAGAGCAGCCCGTGTGAAGAGCAGCCCGTGGGCCCGTGAGGAGAGCAGCCCTGAGGAGAGCAGCCCGTGGGCCTGTGAGGAGAGCAGCCCTCAGTGCAGCTCGCGTTCCCGGCAGGACCTGCGGAATGAGGACCGTGAGGAGCAGAAGGGCAAGCGGGCGCTGCTGTGTGCCGGCTGGAATCCCCCGTCCCCTGAGGGCCGGGTAGGAGAGGGAGTGAAACTACCTACCTTTTTTTGGCAGAAAGTGATGGCTAGAGAAGCTGGTATTTTAATTCTTGGCTTTCTCACCAACCAAACCCGTTTTAACTGGCAGTTAGATAAAGTTTCCCCAAGTCTATTTTACCCACGACAGTAATTGTTAAGTGATCTCTCTATCTTGACCTGTGAGCTTTTTCACGTCATTTTCTCCCCATCCTGCTATGGAGGACGAGGGGAAAGCGAGTGACTGGGTTATCATGTGGCTGCAATCCACGGTCAGCTCACCACAGTGTGGTAGGTATAATTATTTTCTTTGCTGACAGTCTAGTTATTAATCTTTACTTGTAGAGTAATCTCAGTTCTCTTTGATGGTTTTCACCTATGGCATCTATTATTAATTTCTCTCCAGTCATAGCTAAGGCAAAAAAGCAGCTTTTAGTAATACTGCTTTATATGTCCGTGCATATAAATTTAGCACATTTCAGCATTATCTAATACAATCTTGCTTATTGAATAAGTTCAGGGCATATATTGTAGTTCTACACTTTACTGAAATATTTGCAGTGAAATTTGTCACAATCTTAATGTGGCTTTCTTCAACCTTAGCGTGCGTGGTAGAGCTGTACAGCAAGCATGATTGCTCTCCACCAAAGCTCAGAGTAAAACTGCTGCAAAGCTTTCTTTTGGTGACAGAAACAAGGAAGGAGGAGACAAACCCTCTAACCCCTTCCTTGACTTGCCCATCAGGAAACACTGGGGGTGGGGGGAAGCAGCCATTCATATTTGCCTTTAGCATTTTCCATTTTTCCTTTCATTCGGCCACACTTTTATAGTGTATTTTATGAAGGTAAAAGAAAAATCTGCATCTAAAGGTAAGCACATGTCCGTATTTTGAGAAATTGAAAATTCTTCATGTATTTAACATTACAGTAGTGAACACCCAAGACATTTTTGAAATATTTTCCTTTATTTATGTTTTAGAAACACATCTGCACATCACATGCTCTAATAATTCCTGTTCTCTAAAAGTAAGGCTGTAATTCGTAGGTCTAGTACATCTCTCATACTCTTACCCCAAAGAGCCAGTTTGAAGAAAAAAATACAAACAACCCTCCAAAAGAAAAATCCAACAGCAACAAAAAATCACCATACTGACAATATAACTACTCAGTCAACAGCACCTCTTGTTTGTGTGTTTGTTGCATTCGACTGCTCTTTCTTCCATACATTTTCTTTCAGGCGTTTCCGCCTCTTTTAGTTTTACTATTAATCTAACTGCTCCTTAAATTAGCTTGTGTGAAAATTATTAGACTCAAGGGAAACCTACTAGAAGCACTAAGAACATTTTGATAAGTATAGTTAAGAAATAACTATTCAGATGTTCACCTATGACAGGGGGTGAACATCTGATAGCCTGTGAGAAGACAAACACTGAAAGGTGGTAAATTCTTAAACCACTTCAGCTGTACCCAAACCTGTTTCATGCCTACCATTTCGCATTTGGAGGCACAACATGTCTCCTTTACACCTCACTTTGCCGTTAAGAGCCCTAATCAATGACACTGACTTATAAAATTAAATAAAAACTCGCCAGTCTGGTGGCGGCGTTTGTGAAAGCCTGCTTAGCTATGAGCCCACCTTCGACTGCATCTTGAGGGAGAATCAAGGTACACACCTGGAACATAAATACCACCGGCGCACTGGACAGCCACCACCAACCCACTACCTCGAGCTTCCAGCTCCTGAGGAGCCTCCCAAGCGAGAGGGACAAAGGCGGTGACCGTACCTTCCCCCCCGCTGCCCCAGAGGCCAGGTTCATCCCGGCCCAGCCGGGGCAGTGCGGGGCTCGGGAGGCCCAGGTAGCCCGGTAGCCCCTCCCCGCCGCCGGCCCCGCCCCGCGGGGGATGGAGGGGCCGCGGCCGGGCGGGCACTGGAAGAGGAAGCGGAGACGCGCTCCCGGGCGGCGGCGGGGTCACGAACTCTGACCTGTCACAGGGCACGGCACACACAACAACACACCCCCGACCCCAACACAGCCCCGGCCCCCTCCCCTCCGCGGGCCCCACAGCCCCTTGCCGCCCCCGCGGGGGGAGGGAGGGCCGCTGCTGGGCACCGGCCTGCGGGCCCGGTCGGGTCACCGCCACCGCACCTCTGGCGCCCATACCTGAGGTAAAAAACATTTTTTAAAATTGAAGCGGCCCGGTGGGTTTGTTTCGTGGGGGCCAGGACGAGGGAGGGGGCGCGGGGGGGCGGCAGCGGGCCCTACTCTGGACACCCCCGCGAGGGGAGGGGTGGGCTGACGGTGGGTTTAGGGGAGGGGGATTGCACGGCTCCGGTATTTGGCTGGTATGCGAGCACCAGCCGTGGTCTGGCCTAGTCTACAGCTCCTGGACAGAGAGGAAACGACCATTGTGGCGTGCTGGGACGATCGGCGGGGCAGTCCCTCGCCGGAGCCGCTGGCTGCAGCGTGGGCCGGTTGAGGTCGGAGCTGGTCCGAGCGCGGTGAGCAAAGTCTGCTGTCCAAGGGGTGTAGGGCGATGGTCGCGGCGATGACGAGAGCGGGACACAACAGAGAGAGAGAAGATGGAGTCTGAGCGGGCGGAGGCTTGAACCCGACCCTTTTACCTTTGCCACCGGGAGGGCGGAGGGGAGGGGGCGGCGGGTACTTTGCATACGGGGCTGAGACTGCCGCCATCTTACCGGCCGCTTCCTCACTACCATACCTGGGCCTCCTCTAGGCGGACACAAGGCTATACCGGAGGGGAAGGGAAGGGGCCTAATGGCGGCGGCAGCAGCCCCGCCTGGGCTCTGGCTGGCGGCCAGCGCCGCCATCTTGTGCTCAGTGAATCCCCGGGGGGCTCTACCTCAGCTCGAGCGGCGGTACCGCCACCATTACAAGCGGGCGGCTCGACCAATGGGCGCACTGCGGGGAGCGCTGCGCCCGTCATGAGGTCATTGGTCGGGGCCGGGGGCGTGGCTCGGCGGCGTGCGGGGCGGGAGCTGCCGAAGGCCTTTCAGCAGCGGCCAGGGAGTGGTGCAGCCAATGAGGGCGGGCGGCGCGCGCGGCGCAGCCAATGTGGGCAATGCGGCAGGCCCAGCTCGGCCTGGCCGGGCTCGGAGCGCCGCCGGCCCCGCCCGCGGTGTTCCTGCTCGGTCGGCGGTGTCCGGGTGTGGGCCGGGTTCCTGCCGCCGTGTTGGCCCGGGACAGTGTACCAGAGACTCCCGGCAGGGCCGGACCCGCTCCCCGCCCGTCCCGCCGATGGCAGCCTCCTGGAGGCTGCTCGGTGTAGCCGAGTCGAGCTCACAGCGTAAAGAACCTCGTTTCATTAAGACAAAGGAACAAATTTTAATAAGTTTGAATTTGGGCTTTTGCCATGTCTTGTCAGTAGGGTCATACCCTTAGAACCTCTCAAGTGGAATTTTTTATTTGCTTCTGAGATTCCACTGCAGCTTAGGGAAAGATTAATGATTTTACACTGTATTTTGGACAGTATATACTGAGCTGGCTGCCACCGTATTACACTGAAAATAATTTCCTGGTGCTTCAGGTGCCTCTTCCTAGGTTATAAGTTTCACGTCTTGTGTTGGTTTGTTTGGGGGGTTTTGGGTTGAGGTTGCCTTACAAACTGTTGCTCGGGGCTTTTGCTAGGAAAGTGATTTTACCTTCTGGGAGTTGACACCATTAAAAAGCTTGGCATGGCTGTGTGTGGTCCCTGTGCTTCAACTGGATAGCCTCAGCTTAAGGTTCTTTTGTGAAGGTCGAAAGTACAAAAAGCCTTGGTGATAACACCAATAACAGCAAATCTGTCAGACTCATTCTACAGCAAACACTTGTGTTTTGTGTCTCAGGTACTGTTATGAACAAAGCATCATTTGCAGGGCTTCTGTCATCATAAAGCGCTGAGAAGACAGTATAAGCATATGGTTATGCTTCTTGTGCTTTTTGCTGAATATTAAAAAAATAAGAAACACTGAAAATGCACTACTGAACAGCCGAGAAACCATCCATAAACTGGTTCATAGTCTTAATCAAATGCAATACTTCAATAAAATAATGACAAGCTGTAGAAGAAACTAGCATAAGTACAATTTCCATGGGGATGTCTCAATTTTGATTATGCATTGTTACAAATAATCTTGATATATACAAGTAATACTTGACATATACAAAATTACTTTCACACTTGTTACAATATAAGTGAATCCTTTTAACTTAATGACTTTGACATATTTAACGATGTTAGCTTTGTTGAAATTACATTTCAATGGTTGCTGGAGACATGCATACATTTTTCTGTTATGTGTGTTGCTATTGTTTGCTGTGTTTTTAAATTTTATATTAAATGAATGCTTTGCAATTACAAGCAGAGGTTTCCAATGAAACATCAAATGAGCCAGCGTTCAGGAATGCCTTTTTATATTACCTACACCTGGATTAGAATCTGAAGTCTAGCCCTGTAAGTCACAATTGAATCGTAAGTCATAATTAAAAACTGAATGCATTAATTGGAAATCCTAACTAAATTTATCTTGGAAGAAATACACCCCTAATAACAATAATTAAAAATACATTGGAAGTGGTTTTTTCTTATTTCTTTGTCTTTGATTTCACCGTCTTTTTTTTTTAATTTTTTAAACCCTAAAGCTGAAGGTGGAGTTGCTTGGAATAGGATAAAATGATTCTGCAGCATTTTCTTCTCATTGTAATGGAAGTATCACATTATAATAAAAGAATAGTTTAAATAATGGAAGATATATTTTAGATGTAACTGTTTATTTCCCTTATTGTGTAAGATTACTCTTAAGAATATGAATGAACATGGTGGTTTGACAGAATGACTCAATAAAGTTTTGGGTGAAATAGCATTCTTAGCTTGCTGCTCCCTGGTTTAGCATGTGGTATAGAAGCAGTTTAACTGCAAGGTTTCTTCTGCCTGAGCTGAGGAAAGCCCCTTTGAGATCTATGAATTCCACAAACTGCATTAGTACTTGACTTTGAATTAGTCCTTTCTCATTTATGAAATTATTCTTTACAGATTAAATAACAGAGTGGAAATAGTATATTAGAGGCTTAATAAAGTAAAAGAATAATTGTACCTCAGCAGTTTAAACAGCATGGTTCCAGTATGTATGTCTCATATATGTATGTGTGCACACACACATCAGTGGCATCCTCTCTTATTTGCCAGATATATCAAGCAGAAGTGTAAATTTTCAAAAGGTCATGACAGAGCTTTCTTTAATACTACAGAAAACCCAAACTTTTGTGCCTGATGGAAGTTGCTGGCATCTTTCCAAACAGGTTCTCTAATGGTCTTGTTTCACCATGGCAACCAATATGGAGGTGCTGGCTCAGCAGGTGGCTGAGGTGAGTGACAGGTGATATCACAACAGTTGGTATATAAGATTTTGAAATTGAAAACATCTTAGGGAGTCCCTGTTGTTAGCCCTGTCTTGTTCTGGTGGCCCCCATATTAAGAATGCAAGCAGGAAGTTCAACATGAGCTATAGAGAAATTTGGCTGTACTATGAATTGTTTAAAAAAAATAATACAACAAATTTTCTTGTCATTTGATCATTAGATTGGCCATTTGGGACATGGAAAGCTTTTGTACCTGTTTTGAATTGTAATCTAGATCCACCACAGTGTTTGAAGTTACCTGTTTTACTTATGCCATATACTGAATTTACAGTAAGGTGGTTAATTTAGATCAGTTTTTATATTTTGTGCCTACACTTAAAAGAAAAAGCACAAAACCTACTTAAAGTCACATTAAGTGATGTCCTGATGCATTTTCACTGAAGCTTGGATGTTTAACAGCTGAAAAGTTTAAATCAACTCATAAACACAAACTGCAAGTGTTCATGGCCATAGAAAATCATTTATCTCCTTCACCATGCAAACTTCAGTCAAAAAGTAAACTAGATCTTTTGTCTGATTAAAATTATTTCATTAAGTTTACTGTGATTTTTTTGTATGGTTACGTAATTAAGGGATTTAATAAACAATAAAGGGGAAATGGGCTGAGAGACCTCTATAGATGAGGCCACTTTTCAGACATTAGTTTGGTTTTACGTTTTACATTTTCTTTTACATATTGAGCTAAGATTACACCTGTGTATTAAAAAATATTTTAGTTCAAGAAGAAGCCTATATAAGAAGAAAATATAAGTTTAATTCTGTTTTTAGAAGTGGATTTTAGATTCCCTACTTAGATGTACATTTTTAAAAAAGAAATGTCATTCTTTTTAGCATGGAAAATGGCCTAGTAAGTGTCCTGGAAGTAACATCTATGGAATAGTTTCCAAAAACTTCGTAAGTTTCACAGTGAAAACCAACAAGAGATTTTTCACTCTAGTTTCTGTACCAGGTATGAATTTGGCAAGCTGCATTTTTTTAAAAACACTTCCAAATATACTTGGAAAGATAAACCTGTAATGGAAATATTGACAAACTTTATACTATTTTGGTAGAAGTTGGGTGCTGTAATAACATCTAAAGCACATAAAATATGTGACATTTGTAATTCCTCGTGCAGGAAATGCACCGTGGTAACATAGTGTGATGGTTGTATCTTGCCACTGGAGAGATCGCTCCATCTCAAGAGTGTATGAAGTTCTGTGATTTCTTCCTGGCCTGGTGGGTAAATACAGGGCTTCATCTCCTTATAATATTGAGCTGCTGCTTAAATGATATGCCTGTCCACTGCGTAACACTATGAAAACTTTGTTCATGGAAAAACAGTTGTAAGCAGCATTATCTCGTTAGGAATTCATTGATACTATGACCATGTTAATGAATCATTTCTTTATGAATGGCTGGCTACCTTGCTATTTGTGTCTTCTGTCAGATAGTTTTCAATACAGCTAAATACATAACTAGTTTTCTTTAAATATGCTAAAATTCTATATTTGTACTCACCATATCTTAGAGAAAATGTAGACTCAAACTTGACACTGGCTTTATAAAATGAAAGATTTTCAGAATATCATATTTTTTATTGATGAAAATTAAATAGAAGAAGAGGGTCTTTGACCTCTTTTTGCATTAAATTTCAGGTTATGAACTGTGAGAGACAAATTGCAACCTTGATAACCGAATGCAAGTATTAGCAGCTTTACCTATGTCGGCATCACTTTTTCAACATAACTGCCACATATGTAGCGCATGGGCTTATTGAGAACTGTGATGCCAAGCACCAAATCAGACTGTCATGCAACATTTCCTTTTAACTTTGCTAATTTGAAATTGTCTCAAGTGAGATCACATGGCACACACACAGGACCAGGGGATCAGGACCAGGCAGCATGGGTTTAGGAAAGGTCTGTTGGTGCTGCCTGACCAACCTGATTTTGTTTTATGATGAGGTGACCCACCAACTGGATGAAAGAAAGGCTGTGGATACGCCTACCTGTATTTCAGCAAAGCCTTTGATACTGTCTCCCAGCATGGTCCTGGAGAGGCTGCATCCCATGACTTGGACAGGTGCATCTTCATTGGATTAAGAACTGTCTGGGTGACTGGGGCCAGAGAGTTGTGGGGAGTGGTGCCACATCCACTAGTCAGTCACTAGTTGGGTTCCTCAGGACTGAGTTTTGGGTTCAGTTCTGTTTAATATCTTTATGGATGACCTGGACAAAGGGGATTGAGGCCAAGGCCAGCAGTATGAGGTTCAACAAGGCCATGGGTCCTGATGTTGGGTGACCACAATCCCACACAGCACTCCAGGCTTTGGGCAGGGTGGCTGGAAAGCCACTTGGCAGGAAAGGGCCTGCAGGTGCTGGTCAGCAGTGGCTGAATGTGAGCTGGGTGTGCCCAGCTTGCACAAGAAGGCCAATGGCATCGTGGCTTGGATCAAGAACAGCATGGCCAGCAGGACCAGGGTAGTGACTGTCACTCAGTACTGGCCACTGGTGCTGCTACGCCTCAAATCTTGGGGTCATTTCTGTGCCCTGCACTGCAAGAAAGGCATTGAGGGGCTGAAGCATGTCCAGAAAAGAGTAAAGGAGCTGTAAAAAGGATCTGGAGAGTCAGTCATTGAGGAGTGGCTGAGGCAGCTGGTTTGTTTTGCATGGAGAAACGAAGACTCAGGGGGACCTTCTCGAACTCTGGATAGGAGCTTGGAGCCAGGTGAGGAACAAAAGGAAATGGCCTCAAATTGTGCCACAGGGGTTTCAGGTTGAACATACTTTGCAAACCCAGAAAAAGACATGGCTGTTCCAAAATGTTTAAAGAATTTCCATGCAGGTACCTTATAGCTGTCTGTCTTGTCTTTCTCCTTGAACAACGTGGAAGAACAGACTATTCTTTTTTTCCAAGCTGCCTGCAGTACATTGTGGTGTAAGGTTTGAAGATCAATTAAAGGCTAAGGATTCTACAACTGAACAACTGCAGAACAGTTTTAAAAGACCACCTTGCTCTGATTTAGACCTTTTAAAGGTTGCATAGCTTTGTTAATAATTTGGCATGGAAGACATGAAGATCATCAATTAAGATGTCCTCTAAGAATCTGGATTTTTGGGAGTCTTTTTTCTCACCTAGGTATCTTTGTTTTCTGGAGCTGAAGGCTTTAAATCATCCAATAATTAGAAGATGCCTTTTATTTCTACATCTCTTCTGTCTGTTTTCCTCATTTAGCATGCAACTTTTATGACCTGTGTATTAAAAATAATTGGAGATTGTATGTTCAATTTAGATTATACTTTTACAGTATGTGGGACTACTTATGGCACAGGCAATAGGGGAGCAGAATGGTATGGTTTCATTAAGTCTTGTGTATTTTAATTCCTCTCCTTCCCCAAAGAGACTGTAGTCCATTTTCCTTGCTATCCAAACTATTTTTTCTTTCTTTATGTCATAAATGAACTTTTCTGTATATTAAACAAAGATTTTTCAAAGCAAGCTGAAACTAAAACTGCGCTGTTGTACAGCTGTACAAATTTTGATATAATTCCAAGATTGTTTAAAAGAGGTTTTGATAAAAACAACTTGTGACCATCCTGGTTTTGGACACATTACTGCAAGATAACAGGTTCATAGAATGGTTTGGGTTGGATGAGACCTTCAGGATTGACTAGTCCAACTCCCTGCCACGGGCAGGGACACTTTCTACTATCCCAGGCTACTCCAAGCCCTGTCCAGCCTGGCCTTGGACACTTCCAGGGATCCAGGGGCAGCCACAGCTTCCCTGAGCACACAGTGCCAGGGTCTCACCACCCTCTCAGGGAAGAAATTCTTCCCAATACCCAATCCAAATGTTATTGTGCATGTTTAATTCAACATTTAACATTTTTGCTATGAAAACAAGCTTTTCAAACTGGGTATTTTTCAGGATAAGTGTTAAGAACTAAATTTGTGTTTCAGTTTGGTAGTCTAGAAAGGCATGGAATAGGACAAAAAACAATAGTATACAGAAGTAGTGCCAAAGTTAATCTCTGTCATTCAAAAGTACTCTGAAATTATTAAAAGAGGAACTACTTAACATTTTACATTATTTATATATGATGTAATTTATTTTTACAGAAGCAAAAAATGAGACAAGTGTATAATCAGAAGTTCAAAAAAGTATTTCTGCATTTCAGTAAGCTAAAGGATCACACAGTACTTACTCAGTGATTCATTTGAGCAGAGTGGTGGTGGTAGTGGTGGTTTGGTTTTGTCAGGGTCACTCCATTTCCAGAAAAAGAAAATATTCTGATAATTCATTGAAAGCCAATCCAAGCTGGTTAAATGACTGTAACCTTTCCAGTAAATTTAGATTCTAAACTCTAGTGCTATCTGATCTTTTATAAATATTGGTATTTTTAAAAGTGTTCAATACCTTAATAGTGAATTTAAATTCTGTATTTTATTTACAGGTGCCGACTGTTCAGACTTCGCTATCTGAATCTCCAGTGATGACCAGCCCTTCCCAGCGTATTCAGATAATTTCCACAGACTCCTCTGTAGCTTCACCACAACGCATTCAGGTAAAATTCATTAATTAACCAAATATCACATCTTTATTTCTCCTCCTCCCACTTAGCTTTATACAAAAGCATGATAAAGACTATGGAATACTTCCTTTAAATCTTGTGAGAGCAGATAATTTTTAGTGAAAATTAAAATTCTTTCTCCCTCAATGTATTTATTTGGTGCTGACTAGATGGCTGTATATAATAGTTAGCCAGTGAGGAGTATTTACACAGGTTAAGCCTCAGCTACACAAGCAAATCTCCTGAACCCTGGCCACAGCAGAGGGTGAGATACTGTCAACAGAAATCTGAGATTGTCTCCAAGTGCATTCCTCTTCCCCTTTATTTAGGAGCCAGTAGGAGATTAATCTGTTTAGCACAAAGTCGGCCTTTGGGAATGCTGCACAGTGGGTCTTTGTTAGATAATAAAAAGATGTCATTAATGTATCAGAATTTATTCAATGGCAAATTATATGGAACTTACTAAATTTTAATGAAATACTAGTGCATATTGATATGGTTACTCTACCAGACAAAACAGAGATCATGCTACCAGATAACTGTATCAAAAACAGAAACCTTCCATCATAAGATAATCTTGAGAATTGGCAGGTGAAACAGTAAGGCTGCCCGATTTCATGTTTTTATGGTGGTACTTTAGGGAGTATCATCTTATATAAAATATGTAGGTAAAAAATGCATAGGTAAATGTTAATTGGAGAACATCTCCTTAGTGTCATTTATAAAGAAAAATTGGAGAGAGCTTCTTTGTAATTTTTCACTGATATACTTCTGAGATGGAATTAAATGTTTTAAAACATAAATTTACTGTGGTCATGAATTTCTTCAATGTTTTACAGATTGTGACAGATCAGCAAACAGGTCAGAAAATTCAAATAGTGACAGCAGTGGATTCAGCTGTGTCTCCAAAGCAACAGTTCATTTTAGCTAGTCCAGATGGAACTGGTGCAGGAAAGGTGATCTTGGCAGCACCTGAGACATCTAATGCCAAGCAGCTTATCTTTACCACCACAGACAACATTGTGCCAGGCAGAATTCAGGTAAATACAGTAATTTAGATAAACCATGGAATTTTGGTTTGGTTTTTTTTTGTTTCTAAATTAAGTCCAAATTGCTTTAAGACCAGTTGCAGTAGTTTTCTCATGACATGGATTAGACATACTAATCTTAGGCTTCATTGTTCAATCATAAATCCTTCAGTCTTCACCTACCTCCACTGCACTCAACGTCCCTCATTGTGTGTTCTCATTCAAGTTCCAAAGACAAAAGTGAACACTTAAGATAGTGCTTGTGAGAAGAGCCAGGATTTCTCAGTTTGCTCAAGATTCACAGATATACAGAGCTACAACTCACCTGAGCACATTTACATGACTTCATACTTTACATTCAGTATCAAGACATTGCAATAAAACTGTTATGTTTTTTTGGGTCTTGAGCATAATATATGTGAACAGGAGCTTTGCAAAACCAATGATATAAACAATAATCTACCTCTTGTGAAATTTCAGATTTCTTCCTAGCAGTCTTAAAAAAAAGGAATAAAACAAAAGTAAAAGTTCCTGGTCCTTCTTGTTACTGTTGCAATAGGGTTACAATAGAGAATATTTTACAGGAAGAAGAGTAATTTTTACATAAATATTTTTTAAATGGTATTAACAGTCTTCTGAAATTCATTTTTCCATGCTAAATAAGGTATCTGACATTACAGAAGGGTTGGGTTTTTTAGATTTTCTTGGTTAAATAGAATGTTCAGAACAGAAGTTTTGTAATCCAAGTCCTTTGGAAGCTAAACTGTTTCTATGGTAGATCTGAGCTCCAGGCTATCCCCTCTGAACCATACATCCCTAATAGCTAGAGAAGAGATAGATGGGAACAGCATCTGAAAGCCAATTGTCTTTGGCTAAAATATAACAGCTGTTTGAGAGTATTTGCAAGAAGGGAAAAATACTGTGGATTGCACAAGCGAAGAAACATTTGTACTAAGCAAAGCTAGCAGTTTTATTTATAATTTGTTTTGATATGACTGTTTCAAAAGTTTCACTATTGTCAGTAAGAACTCTCATTAAACTGCATTTTATTCTACTTAATTTCATTCCCCATGCCATATTTATTCATAAATTCAGTCCCCTCTTCTTAGCTGTCACAATCATCTTGTTCTACAGGCAAAGCTCCTTGCCTTCATATCTGGCTAATTACATCTTTTTGTTCTGGAATTTTGCTTTAGATAGTGACAGACTCTGCTTCAGTGGAACGTCTGCTAGGAAAACCTGATGTTCAGCGGCCCCAGGTAGTAGAATATTGTGTAGTCTGTGGTGATAAAGCATCAGGTAAGGAAACCTACAAAGTGGTATCGAAGAAACTTGCTTGAAAGGATGACTGGGATGAAGAGATTATTTTTCATGGGCTTTAACTGATTTTAGTTATGCTCATGGCAAAAGCAATTGACTTTTTAATGGGAAAATATACTCTGTATCTATATGCAAAAAATAGCTAAACTGTGCTTGGAAGAATATTAGGTTTTTTCACTGAACTGAAGCATATGATAAATTGGCTGAAAGATAAAATAATGATAAAATCACTCCTGATAATTGAAAAAGACTACTTGAAGCATGTAGTCAAGTTCCCCACAGTGATGTGCAACCATGAAATAAACATGTCACCTAAATATGTCTAACTACTCCAAGAAAATGCTTCTTAGTGCTCTCTAACAAACTTAACACTTCCTGGTATATTTTGTTCTTCTACTATTACAAAACAAGGCAAGCAGAGATCACGTGAATCCTCAGTGTTTCAGATCCATGTAGTAACAAGGAGTCTTAAGATAAAATTTTTATATTAGTCAAGGGGGTGTTCTGTGCTTTCATCCTAGAGAAAAGACACCCTTCTGTCTCTTTTTCTCACTTTCTTTTATTTCTTTAAATGTTTATGTAATTAAAACAATACCAGAATTAACATGGACAGGAAATTTAAATAAAGATTGCATTTTAAATTTTGATGTAAAATTACTTGTTTTCTGAAATTACCTGAGCTCTTAGCATGTATGTTCTCTAAATGTATCCTATAGTCTGTAACAGCAGATAGAATTGTATCTGTACTTACGCTGAATGGGAACTACACCTTCATCAACTGCACATTCAGAAATAGGCTGAGCCTTTCACTCTTCTCTCCACTCTCACCAAAACCCCTGACAGTAGGTAAACCAGAAATATCTTGTGAGACTACAGTAATGCTTTCATGGTTTAAAATGTTGGTACAAATACAAAACAGATTTAAAGGGTGACTTACAGTTACTTGCTTAAAATGAGTATTTTTATGCTAAAATATAAGTAATTTCCAACTGGTAACAATGTATATGTTTCCTAGGTCGTCATTATGGTGCTGTCAGTTGTGAGGGATGCAAAGGTTTCTTTAAAAGGAGCGTAAGGAAGAATTTGACCTACAGTTGTCGTAGCAACCAGGACTGTATCATCAATAAACACCATCGGAATCGATGCCAGTTTTGTAGGCTTAAGAAATGTCTAGAGATGGGCATGAAAATGGAATGTGAGTGTTAAGTACTCAATGTGATATTGTGCCTACCAAATAACAGTTATGTGGACTACCACTTGTTAGTGTGTTCTCTCTGTTTTGGTATATGTTGCTTGAAGGAAACAGAACATTTTGGCAGCATCTAGTGCACCTTTCTTTCATCACCATTTTATGTCTGAGGTGCAGTAGTGGTTTGTTTTGAATGATGTCTCCAAGTAGTGTTGTCTTTGAGCCCAGTTACAGCCTCACTTAGAATGCATGTTCCAAACACAGTGTACGTTCATAATAGAAAATACTTTGACATGGATTGACATGAATCTAGTATTCTGTTTTGATAATCTGCTTTCCTTCCAGTTTATTTTTGCAGCTTTTTCAACCACTGGTATAAAGTAGTTAGTCTTTTTTTTTCCCTCTTTTTGAATTTTTATGTTAATTTGATAATTTGTGAGCAGAGTTTTATGGGGCATTGTATAAACTGTCATATGTTTTAAAATATACTTTCATGTTTATATGCAGTACTTCATAAATTTCCAGCACTAGCAGCGAAAGACTTGTTTCAATATATTTTTGTTTTCAGTTTATATCACCTGTTCTTCAATTTAGCATTATGTGAAACAATTACTAGGTTGTTTTGTGATCTGATCTAATCGTGGTAAGTTCCAACCACTGAGTTCAAGGGAGGCAGTACTTTAAACTGTAAATAGGGACATAATTGTTGTATTTGCACTCTTAAAACTCCAGACATGTTGTGATGATTCTGGTGCTTTGCACACAATGTGCTGAATAGAAGATGAGATGTTTGTACAAGAAAAACTGCTGCAGTTCCAGAAATAAACCTTTCTTATCCCAATATGATTAGGGTATATATTTACTGACTTCACAGACTTTGGGTCAGGCTTCTGATAAATTAATATGTATTCACCAAGCCAATAAATTTGATATGACAACTTTTAAGCCCCTACATTTTGCTAATAGTAACAATACCAGCGAAAACAAAATCAGGAACTAAGTAACTTGCTGGTTATAAGGATAACTTTCTGTAGTATGTTTAATAATAATATTTTAATATAATAAAGATGCACTTTTCACATTCTTTAAAAGTTACAAAGTAAGTGCTTCTTAATATTTTTATTAAAAAATTTGCTACACTTGTTTGGCATTTCAGAGACTGAATTTAGTTTGTTTCAATTCTTGAGTATAGATATTTAGATTATGAAGGGGTTAGTTTTGAAACACTCTTCCCTAACTGGGTGAAATTAATGGCTGTGAGTGAAGTGTATGTCATACAGAGTATCCTCTCAAGGAATTAACCTGCATCTCAAGTAACTTGCCTCTCTTGACTTTTTCAGGGTTCCTTCTTTGTTTGCATTGTTTTGTGTCATCCAGAATAGGAATGTGCCTAACATTTAGATATATCTGTGCCTGTTAAAAAAAACCAAAACTAAACAAATTGAAAACAATCTGTAGAATCTTCCATCTTATCAAATGCCAAAAAAAAGAGCAATATTTTATTCCAGATCAGCAAAACCTGAAGAAAAAGATCAATCTGTGACTTTCTAGTTAAAAGTATATTTAAAAATCCACATACTCACAGATATGGTAACGTTGGGGCCTGCATTTCTTCACTCTTGGTATTAAATTTCCAGTTTTGCACTGGGCTGTTATGCTATCATAACTGCAGGAGTTTTACTTACTTTTTGTATTTTTTGTTTGAATTATTTCCTTTCAAGTCTGTATGTCTCTGTCTTTATGTAGCAGTTCAAAGTGAAAGAAAGCCTTTTGATGTGCAGCGTGAAAAACCAGCCAACTGTGCAGCTTCTACTGAAAAAATCTATATAAGAAAAGATCTTCGAAGCCCTCTAATAGCAACTCCAACATTTGTGGCAGATAAAGATGGGACACGGTGAGTAGCTCAGTTCCACACATTTTTTTTCATATTATTTGTGCATGTTGCTTTGCAGTCACACCTATATTATTTCTCTCCTCTGCTCTCAGAGGAACAGAAAAGAGTTCTAATGAACAGATCATCTGTTTCCATTACCAAGGCCAATGTAGGTTCTGCTTCTTGTGAAAGTTTTTATGTCTGCATACAGGTACGTGGTTTTCAGTTCAGAGCTGGCTCTTGTCCAGCCAGGTCAGAGCAATGCAAAGCAAATGAATGATATTCAAACAGAAAGCATATAGGCTAATGGTGTGATGCATTCAGGTTAGCACTTCTCTGATATCAGATCTGCAAATGACAGACTTGGGCTTCCATCTCCTAAAGACAGTAGTTAGGGAGACTCAGTGGCTGCTGATTCAGATCCCAAGAGACTGATTTCAACAACACCGAAACAGCAGCTTCCTTTTACCATATGGAAGTTACTCCAAAATGGTTCCTGCACTCTCAGATGTGTCCTTAGGCAGTGGGTGTGAAAATGCACATCATTACAAACAAAGGCAATATTACTTTTTTCTGAATAGAATAGAAAAAGTCTAGGTTAAATATAACATTTTTAAAACTAGTTTATGAATGGTTGAGAACCACATAAAAAATTGGATTTTATTATTCAGTTTTCATATGGGGGGAAGTGTGTGCATTTAATTTTTTATGTACATATTCCTTGTTGAACAAATGACACTGCAGTTAAGAAGTTTGGGCTGCAGGGTTCTTGGAAAATTGTTTTTTAGTGTTCTTGTTTGAAAGAAGCACTCACAGACACATTTGCTTCTTAGAAATTTCCTTGAGCTCCAGATCCATTACAGACCTATAAACAATACTATAGTCATTAAGAACCACTGTTATTTATGTAGGATTCATATCTGCATAATGCTTGATAATTTGGGTTAGGGTTAGGGTGCCTGTGTCAAGCCTGTCAACAAGCCTGTGCTCGTTCACAATGATAGCTGTTCATATCAGACCCCTTGTACTGTAACGTCCTGCAGCCTGCACCTGTGTTGTGTGCATTGGTATTGTGTTATGGGCGCTTGGAGCATCACATAAGTAGTAAATAAACTCCTTGCTGACTGCAAAGACTTTCCACTGTCTTCCTAAATTAGATACAGCAGAGGGGAAGGACGTTTGGTCAAAAAGCAGCAAAAGTAAAGGCAGCAGAGATTTTATACAGACTTTCATTACATTACTGTTTCTGACTATACTTTGGAGTGTAAAATTAAATATTTTAATGACTTTTATTTAGTGCTGGCCATTGTCTTGTTTGGAATACAGAGTTATGCCTTCCTCCAAAGTCTAATATAAAACTAGAGCTACTAGGTGACTTCTGAGAACATAAGAAGACAACAGCTTTCCTTAAAGCAGACTAAACCAGAACAAAAAATCAAATGAGAAGATACACATTTGGGAAGTTGTCATTGTTTTACACTGGAAATTAAAAAATATTTCTGTCTTTCAAGCTACTTTTTGGGAACTGTTTCAGAAGAACTTAAGTCCTGATAAACTGTAAGCTTCATGAAATTGTTTATTTAAAAACTGGTAATTCTTTTTATGGTGTTGTAAATTGTTACACATTCTTCTGATTAATGGAAAATATTGTTGACCATCAGATGCCTTATGATTTTGAACAGGTCAGCTGGTCTTCTAGATCCGGGAATGCTTGTGAATATTCAGCAGCCTTTGATCAGGGATGATGGTACAGTCCTCCTAGCTGCTGATTCCAAGGTATTACTGTCTCATTTCAATTCTGAGCATATCTATTAATTTGTTCAGATTACTTTATCTGTTGTACATAGTCTCAAATAGTTGTTGCTCTTGAGAACCTAAGGTTGTGATAAGTGTGAAGAACCCTATGGATGGTGTAATAAATTGATCAATAGGATTGTGGTTTATTTTGGAAAGCATATTTCTGCAAAAGGTCAGCCACAGGTAGTTCTCCATATGATGTTTCATCTGGGCCTAGGATTAATAATTAGAACAGGATTTAAAGATAATTGAGAGCCATTGTTCTTCCTGGTATTCAGGAGGAAGGACAAGTTGTGTAGGGGAAAAAGAAGAAAGATCAAAAATGGAGGGAAATTATATATGATATATTAATTGTAATTTTGATTTACTAATATAGTGCTTCCTTTTTAGGCTGAAACAAGCCAGGGTGCCTTAGGAACATTAGCAAATGTTGTAACATCTCTTGCTAATCTCAGTGAGTCGCTAAATAATGGAGATACTTCTGAAGTTCAGCAAGAAGAGCAATCTGCAAGTGAGATTACACGGTATGGATTTATATTTATACCTTTTTTAGTAATTTGTGTTCTATGTGGTGTATCCTTACACTCGTTCATTATAAAGGAATTTGGCATTGTTACACCAGACACAGTACAGATTGCCAGATTGCTCCTACTTTGAAACACAAACACAGTTCTTTAGAAATCAGTTTTGGCTGTTGCCCTCCTGTGAAAAATTGTCCTGTGTTACAAATGTAGTGTTCTGAAGCTAGACTAGATTTGGTTCTCAGAAAAATAATAAATTACTAGTTTGTGACCTTGAAAGACTCTTGAGAACAGCAACACTTCAGTGTCATTTTATTTCACAGGTGTGTTTTATGTAAGCTTCTTCTGTGCAATGTTTGTGTCTTTAGCCCTGCTCTTTAGGGACCTGCATTACTGCAGATTTATTTTTGAGATTGTGCTGACATAAAATCTCCTGGTAATGTAGATTTAGAAAGAGTTTAAAGTCTTTCTTTTCTTTATTAATGAAAGTATATGAAAAAGGAGCATGGAATATTAAAATTTCCAGCACAGCTTGAGATTTTCAAGACTGGGATTTTTTTTTTGTTGGATGTTTGTGGTTGTGTTTTCTGTGCGGGGGAAGTGGGTTAGCTGAATTTAGGAGTATATGTTAATAAGATAAATACTTGGAGTCAAAACTGTCCACTGTTTCTCAAAAGAGATTTTTGGGAGGAGCTTAACGGTCATGGTTTAGTAATGGTATTCTCCAATTTAATGTTCACACTTGAATTATGCTGCCACTTGCTCCCCATCCATCTCCAGTCAGAGGCACAAAAGGCAGAGATCACAGGTTGAAATAGGAACAATTTACTGGAAACAGCAATGAGATTAGCAAACAAACAGTATTAGCAAAATAAAACAGTAATAGCAACAATATTAGTAACAAAAGATAAGAAAAGAAACGATTTACACAGAAAAACCCCTGACAATAAACAAATACCAGACCAGACTGCCCACTACATCGACTGGAAGACATCTCTTCTGGGGGGGGTGGGAAGAGAGAGAGAGAGAGGGAGAGAGAGAGGATATTAATTATGGCTCTTAAGTCTTTCAAGTGAAGTGAATTCATATTTTAAAATACTTGACACTGCAATGTCAGCTTATGTCAACCTCTTACTCTTTCTTTAAAAAGAAAAAAAAAAAAAAATAAAAAAACCCTCTCCCAAAAAAGCATCTTGACAAAAAAGTGGCAAAGGAGAAGTATACCATAGTACTGTCCACTGGTATGAAAGTGGGACACAAAATTCTTCTTTACATCTAAGCTCTGTTAATCCTAAGAGAATTTACAGTGATTTATTTGGGTAATGATCCAGCAACAGCTTGAGTATAAAGGAGACCAGGGATCAATCTCTCTTGTGTTACTGTCATAAGGTTTTTAAAGCTCTGTCTATCTATACTGGGAGATCAGGAGTGCCTGGCCATATTTCATCTTAAGGGAAAGGAAATTCAGGCATATATAATATTGTCTAGAAGAAAAACACACTGTTCTCCACTGTTCCAAAAACCTGGAGATCAAGGATGGGGACAAGGACAGGAACTCTGTTCTTTAGAGTACATCTGGTCTGTAATCCTCACTGAATCTGTGAGAATAGGGAATAGTGAATGGTAAGTGCAAGAGGACTGTTGTGGTTTTAGCCCAGCGGACAACTAAGCCTCACACAGCCACTCCCTCACTCTCCCACCAGTGAGGTGGGATATCTACTGGTGATAGAATCAGAAGGGTAAAAGTGAAAAGACTTGTGGGTTGAGATAAAGACAGTTTAATAGGTGAAACAAAAGCCACATACAAAAGCAAAGTAAAGGAATTCATTTGCTACCTTCCATGGGCAGTCAGGTGTCCAGCCACCTCCAGGACAGCAGGGCTCCAGCACGTCTGACAGTTACTACTGAAGACCTAGGCCATCACTCCAAACATCCCCCCACTTCCTCTTTCTTACCCCTTCTTTATATACTGAGTGTGACGTCACAAAGTATGGAATAATCCTTGTGTCAGTTGGGGTCAGCAGGCCTGGATGTGTCATCTCCAAACTTGTGCATGCCCAGCTTCCTCACTGCAGGGAGGACAAGAAGCGGCAACAAAAGGCCTTTATGCTGTGCAAACACTGCTGTGCATAAAAACATCTCTATATCATCAACGTTGTTTTCAGTACAAATCCAAAACACAGCCCCATACTAGTTACAGTGAAGAAAACTAATTCTATCCCAGCCACAACCAGCACAGCACAAGGCCCCTCTACTAGTACAAATACTAGGATAAAACTGTCAGAGCGGGATTTACAGTACGAAATCCTTCCCTTACAGGGGAGATCTTTTACTAGCAATATGTGGGCACATCTATCTGTTTTATTAAGGCCCAAAGAGTACAGAGGGACCAAATTATAATGAAAAGTCTGACCTTGTGTCAGCCGAAAGAGTTCTTGTGTATGTTGCCTCTAAATGGAAATGTTTTATAGCATTTAATTTGAGCACTGTGAATTTTTTAAGATCTAAACAAGCACTCTTTCATTGTTTAATTATTTATTATTTTTTAGGGCGTTTGATACTTTGGCTAAAGCACTTAATACTACAGATGGTACAACAGCTCATAACTTGGCAGATGGGATGGATCCTACAGGAGGAGGGAATATTCATATAATCAGTAGAGATCAGTCAACACCAATTATTGAAGTGGAAGGACCCCTACTTACAGATACACATGTCACATTTAAGGTATGTGCTTCTTTAAATGTCTTAGTAAACAGACTAATGCTTAAGATGTATGAGCTGCTACATAATTTCTTGTCTGGTATTCCCAATTTGCATTCCTTGCCAGAGTAATGAGTAGTTTTCCTTTGAAAACTTCTTGTCACACTGTTGTGATGGACTATGAGAGTAGTTTGAATGTTTTTGCCAGTTATTTCATTGATGATAAAAACTGGTTTATGTCTGAACTATATGTATTGTACTGTACTTTTATTTTTTGCAGCTGACAATGCCCAGTCCGATGCCAGAGTATCTTAATGTACACTACATCTGTGAGTCAGCATCACGACTCCTTTTCCTCTCTATGCACTGGGCTAGGTCCATACCTGCATTTCAAGCTCTTGGGTAAATGGACATACTCTATCTGAATGGTTTGCTTTTGAATGAATTTAAGCACTGACCTGAACACATCCCAGCTATTTTGAACTTTCTAGTTATGATATTGTTTAATTTTTAATGAATACTTTAAAATGTGTGAAGACTACATTATATTCCCTGTTTTAAAGAATAAAATAGAAGATGGCAGAGGGGAGGGTAACTACAATATCTGATAGTACTGTGATTACCAAAAATAAAGCCAAATCAAAAGAAAGCATTAATTTGTAGAAATTAAATGCTTGTTTTTGATACCTTATTAAAGAATTGATAAGCACCGTTTCACAGATAATGCAAAATGATTTTCCATAGTCTATAATTTCTTTTTGCTTCTTGAAATACTTGCAATATGCTAATATATGCCTGTTACCAAAATGTTTTGCAATAGATTAATCCTTATTATGAATTGTTATACATAATTACACATAGGGCAATAACAAGCTGATATGCAAACCTCGCATTGTTTGATTTTCTGCTGTTTATAGGCAGGACTGCAATACGAGCCTTGTGCGTGCCTGTTGGAACGAGCTGTTTACTTTAGGCCTGGCGCAGTGTGCACAGGTGATGAGTCTGTCTACCATCCTAGGAGCGATTGTCAACCACCTCCAGAACAGCATACAAGAAGGTATGTTACCAGTATTGCTAACAGTACGGGGACATTCGGATAAAATTGCTCACCAAGTGTTTCCCCATCACTGGCAGAATTGTTCACCAGGAACCAGGGGAAGGTGAATCTTTCTTGCATAATTATCTTTCCCCTGGTGATCTACAATTTTGTTGCACTGACCTCACAGAGATATCTGTGGGTTACAAGTGTCCATAGAGGCAAGGGGGTCTTCTATGCCTGACTGACATTACAGAAAAAGACAGTACATCCTAAAATACTCCTTGGATGTGCTCCGAGTTTTCTTCCCATCTAGATGTACGCTTTTTCCTCAGAGAATAATGGTATCCTCTTCCAAACTATACCAGACATTTTCCCTTCTGGAACTTTCTTCTCTTTGCAGTGTAAAAACACAGTGTTTGCCAATTACTATAACAAGCATATTCTTGCAAGTATAATGGTTTTGGACACTACTGTAATGCAGTAATGATTAATGTATTTTGAAGCATCCTTGAACCATTAAGCAACTTAACTTCTTGACGTTCTTAACAAGTTGTATGCAATTTTATTTTTTAATTCAATGTTGGTCTGTTGATAGTGATGATTATAATTAGAAAGGATGAAAATCTGTTATGATTGCTTTTTTTTCATTCTTTAAAGATTCTTTCAATCAATTGGATTGATTAGCATGAAAATAATATTTATTTTTAAAAGGAGGAAGAAAACAATACGCTTTAAACTCTGCAAACGGAGCATAATACATGAAAACTGCTTTAAATTTAAATTTGCATTAGAAGCAGTTACAGAATACTATTTGGTACCATTTTTTTGTAATTTTTTATGGTGTCATTATTGTGCACAGAGAAAAAGTTAGAAAATAGGTTTTTACTGTGGAGAGTAAAACAGATGTATTTTTCTAGAGCTAAAGGGTATTAAATATTTTTCCAGCTATCTGCTGTGTGCATTTTATACTTCTACAATCAAGTTTAATCTCCTTTATTAGCTTCATCGTGATAAAGTAAATTAGACTGAAATTTGATTCTTAAGTGGATGGTATGCTTTAATTGCTTTTATAATGAATATAGGGTTTTTTCTTGTTTTGGTTTTTTGTTTGTTGGTTCATTTGTTTGTTTTGTTGTTTTCTCATTTAAGACAGCCCGGATAGTCCCAAAATACAACAGAGTGTGCTGATCCTTTCCTGCACAGAGAGGCAAAAGATCAGTAGGGAAACCTGCATCAGGGGAACATTGGATGTTCTATGCAGAGTTAGGCTTTTACTTTATATCCATTTCAGAATACACAGAGCTGTCTATCCCACCTCTATTCCAGGCAGTGTCTTTGGGGAGGAGTAAGTGGTAGGGCTCTTACAGCTGGTCCCACTTCTGTTCTCATGAATTAAAATTGAAAAAAAAATATTTTTTTCTATAATCTGTACTTGCAGCCATATTGTGTTAGCTGAGACCAGCCAAGAAAAGAGGATCATTAGTGTTATTTAACTGTCCTGCAAAGTTACAATGTTATATTGTGCATTATACCTTCAAAACAAAGTGAAGAAATTTCAGAACTTTATCTAGGAACATGTTAGTGATGAGGCTACTTGGAAACTCTGGAATTCAAGTTTGCTTTTCCTGACTTTTTCTGGACCATATTTTCCCACTTAATACAGGAATAAAAACACTAAATTATGTCCATCTTCATCCATCTTGAGTAACTAAAAATTTGTATCACAAATAATGATTTAAGAAAGGTAAATTAATCTTTCATTCTTATTTCAAGACTGTGCAAAAAATGGTTCTCCCATTCATTCAGTCTTCTCATTGCAGTTTCAGAAAATAGATCGAATAGTAAAACGATGTCAAAGATTCAGTTTAAGGCACATGAGGTCTAAGCAATCCTAGGCACTATTAGCTGTATAGAGAAAAATAAAATATTCAAATTAAAATTATATTAAATACTAGAATTGGAGATTATGACTGGAATGAAATTATTCTAATGTGTTTTTCAAGAAAAGGTTTTATCCCTTGTGAACTGACTTAGTTCTGAAGTTTGTTAATAGTAATCACATATTCAAAAATTTGTCTTAATGTATTCTTTAATGTTTTTATTCCTTGACTAGTTTGTAGATATGCAGTCCAATACAAGGATTTCTATTTACCAAATTAGAAATCTCTCCCTTCCTAGTTTAGCAGTCAATACCGCTCACTTGTAACATATCTATAAATAAAAGATATTTTTTAAATGGAAATTTTAAGTTAGATTATGAACCCAATATAAGGACTGTGATCTTTCAAATGATAGAAGAATCTGTGTATGTGTATTTCAGTGAATTTACTCAATCAGATGGGAAAAAGACTAGCTACCATAGCTAATGAAAAGTTCACTCCTAAAAGTACAGATAGAGGAGAAAGTAGCACTGTCATTACTGTTCTTGCATTCACTTTTGGAAATGCTAATTCAATAATGTTTGAATTTAAAATTAGGGCTGCATGTTAGCATTTGCTTTTTTGTAGAATAATGCACCATAATTTCAGAGTCTCTGCTCAGAACAGTACACCACTGGAAAGTCTGGTGTGGCAGATTATGCTGTCCTGGCCAAATTACACAAAAGAGTTAACATTCTGTTTGCTAGCCCTGGGTCTGACTCAACTTTATAAATTCACTTCACTTTCATAATAATTCAGGCCATCCTTACATGGTTTTAAGACAGCAGAAGACTTGCAAATATCACTTGACTTGGTTTATAAAACTTTATTTGTTAATATATTAGAAATGCTTGAGCTCAGATGAAATAGTAAGCAATATCTTTTTGTAGATAAACTTTCTGGAGAAAGAATAAAGCAAGTCATGGAACACATCTGGAAACTTCAAGAGTTCTGTAACAGCATGGCCAAGCTTGATATTGATGGATATGAATATGCATACCTTAAAGCTATAGTCCTTTTTAGCCCTGGTAAGGATTTTAGTAACTATGTTTTTAAATAAAAAGCCTTAATATGTGAATTCTTTAGGATTTTTTAAATGAGACTAATGTCTTGAGATGAGACTCATCTGTTAAACTGCAGATAAAATTGTTTCATAATGATTATCACATGACGTGTTTTAAAATAACTTCAGAGCAACATATTTATATTATTTACAGTTCAAATCTATCAGGTGTTTCCTGTATATCCACCCTAGAAGATTAGATTCTCAAGTTACCTTCAGCTGAGAATCTATGAGTAATAAATTATCTGGAATGTGTACTAGCAATATTAGCGAGGTAAATGGTGAGGAGGATTAGAAGAAATGCATTCTCTTAGTGATACAAAGAGTTTTGCTTCAATTTTAGTATTTTTAATATACTCATAAAAGGAATAGCTGAAATATGAGCAAAAATACCTATATTATATGAAACTTACACAAAATCTCAAAAACTGAATGTGAACAGGGTGTCCTCCATTTGTTACCAAAAAAATGACAGCAGATGACTAAAGAATAGTCAAGTGTTTCTGAAATATGCAAATTTACTCAAAGAAGACACTTGAGATTTTCTGGAATGATTAGGTAAGGACATTCAAGAAATTGGAAGTGACAGTCTTTTCAGCAAAGGTGGCAAATGTTTCTAGGGCACACAAAGGTTAATCTAAAACGGTTGACAAGCTGAGTAAAAGGGAAAGTTTTGCTCAGAAATGCCTATTATTTATTTTAATTTAAAGGTATTTACCACTTTGTATTTAACAGAATACAAAGTAAAAGGATATATTGTTATTGGTATATTTGCTTGGGTTTTTTTGCATTGATAACTTTTTTCTCTTTGTAATAAAACTTAATTAGAAGATACTGGTGTCCTGAAATGTTATTTTGAATTTCTGGGGGGAGAATGTCCCATTAGAGTTAGGTTTATTACGGGTTAGAGTTAGGTTTATTTGTTTGAGTTGTAAAAGCAAGAAACCATAGAACCTCAAGGTAGCTCTGTCCTACTTCAAGAGACAAGCAGTTTGGACACAAGAGTGAAGATATTTTTGCATAGTAAGATAGATACTTTGTGGGTTTGCTTTTTTTTTTGCTCTGATCACGTGGCTGTCTGAGGACCTGAGCCAGCTGGAATTAAAACATGAGACAGACTTCGGAAGATTAAGACATTGATCTATCAAGAAAATAACCCTAGATACTTCTTAGCCAGCCTAGTTATAACAAATCACAGAGGCGAACATATTTACATTTAAACAAGCAAAGTTAAAAACAAGTTCTGTGTCATTGCCTGGTACACACATACAGGTTTTAATCTTTGTCCACTGTCTTATGGATACACACAGCTCTAGAGAGAAAAGTGAACAAGCTAACTCTGAAGCCAGGAAGTAAATGTTCACCTGAGTTGTTTCCTTTATACAGATAGCATGTTAAACATCACAATACTATATAAGTATTTCATTGAAATTAAATGTGAGAGTCTTATATTTACTTCACAATGTATATGGAAACAATCAACATACAGAAATGTTTTGTTTCTTTAGATCACCCTGGTCTGACCAGTTCAACCCAAATAGAAAAATTCCAGGAGAAGGCACAGATGGAATTGCAGGACTATGTACAAAAAACCTATCCTGAAGATACTTATAGGTATTTATTGTGTAAAGTACCCAGAAAGATGTTATGGGCTATAGCTAACAAAAAAGTTACAATATATTAACAGTTAAAGTAGTTAAAGTACAATATATTATAATTGATGTTTCTGACATCTGGGGTTTGGGGTTTTTTCTAACTGTTGATAAGAAAGAACTAAAACCTAGTTCATAAAAGCAAGCAGCTTTGTTCAAAGATGTATAGAAATAAGAATAGCTGTCTAGTTTGTTCCATGTAAATTGAATTTATTAGTACTTGCTTGTTTTTTTAGGGTTTTTTTGAGACCCTCATAGTCATGTTTAGAAAAGTAAATAGACTTACTTTTTTAGAAGTTTGGGGGATAACTGCTTCAACTGACTAATTCACACTGCTTCTCTTCTCAAATTATTTTAAAGTCTCTTTGACAAGTAAAAGGTGATTATCATCCTTGAAATGTTTTTCAAGTTGCATATACAGAAAAATGTTAAAACTGTCAGTTATAGCCCTTGAAAAAACAAGGATTATAATGGGGAACAGTAACCATCTCTCAGACTTCTGTTTATAAGAAATTCCCATATCATACTTATTTTCTCCTTTGGCTTTTTTTTTTAATTTAATTTCCAAGGACTTCTCTGAAATTATCTAGCTTGTTTTTTTCACCTTTCAACCATTCTCATTGTTATGTGCTAGAAATGATTACCCTATTTTCTGACAATCTCCATCAAAACTCAAAATTCATCAACTCAATGATTCTCTGCACTATCAGGGAAATTCTCACTTCGTCTAGCAAGATATAACAGAACATGTCCTTTTTTACTGTGAAAGGTATCCTCATGTAAAGAAGCAATCCCATACACTTAAGCACTGTCTAAGGGTGGGGTAACTAAAAAGAAGAAAAAAACCTGTCTGGAAAAGAGAGCTTCTCCCATCTCTGTTTTCTGCACTGATCTTACAGAATTAACACTGTGGTGCAATGAAAATAGGATTCTCTGCCTCAGAAATATTCTCAAATCCCACATTCTTCCATGTACAATTGGGTCCTTCTGTTTTGATTAGTGAGAACTAAATATATATCATAAAACTAAGTATAAAATTTGCTCCATATACTTACTTCTCATAATAATAATTCTTCTCAGGGAAGAAAATCAGAGTTACATTCCCCAAGCAGCATCCTGTATTTTAACTAATAGTGTCACTATCTCCATGCTAACCCATAGACAAGATTAGAGAACAAATCTGATTATTTCTGAGCAACTGAGTGCTGGTACAAATTGAGATAGGAGACAAGACAATTGTGTTACAATTTTCACAAAAACAACAGCAATAGCTTGAATCTTTTTGCCCTGAAGTTTAGAAGATATGGTATACTAGCAGAATGGACCTTATATATTTTCTCCATAAATATTCAAGCATTTTCCAGACCACCTGTGGTCAGTGCTACCTTAGGTTTGCTATTACGTGGTTCTGGTTCGGCATTTGTGATGCACATCTCCCATAGGAATGACAGCAAAATGCTTTCATCACAGTCCTGAATTTCATATGCATGTGAAGTCTAGCATTTCAATACAATCACTTCATTATATTGGATATCTGTTAACATCCTGGTAAATGAAACATCAGGGCAATTTGGCAGTATTTATCCTTAACAGTATACTCCCCCAAGTTCCTTCTCTCATCAGAAGCAGATTATCTTTTTTCTGTTTATATACATCTAGCTCCCTTCCTGCTATCTCATTTGGCATGAAGTTGCTAGGCAACTGAGGACTATGCTGTTTATGGCTGGAATTTTAATTAAGCATTGTATTCTTAAAATGGTGCAAATGTTTGCATCAATCAGTATGAATATTATGAGTCTCAGCATTGTTCGTCCAGAGCTGGGGATTTCAAAAGCAGGCCAAGAAGATTGTGTGTTTGTACATACATGTTCTGTCTACAAAGGGCATTAACATGTTCCTTTCATTGGAAAAATACAAAGCTACTTAGCTTTCATTTTGCTTGCAGGTTAGAACAGCTACCATTCTTTTTGTGGTAGCAAATTAGCTTTAATTGCCTCTTTAAGCCTAGTCATGAATTATGGTAAAATAATAAAGGCAGATCCAGCTCTTTAGCCATTGAGTATTTCAAACTGGTCTTATATGTATTTATAATCCACTGAACTTCTTTTTCAGGCTAGCCCGGATCTTAGTTCGCCTGCCTGCACTTAGGCTGATGAGCTCTAGCATCACCGAGGAACTGTTTTTCACGGGTCTCATTGGAAATGTTCCCATTGATAGCATAATCCCCTACATTCTCAAAATGGAAACAGCAGAATATAATGGTCAAATAACTGGCACATCTGCATAAAAGGAATAACATAATTTGAGGGATGGAATTAAATTTCACAAAAAACATAATTACAAAGTTAAAAGGGTAGTGTTTTGGTATGGGCAGATAATTCCAACTTGTTATCAGTTTCCTGACCCGATTTCTGCTTGTCTTTTTCTGATGCTGACAAAATTTAAAGCAGCTATTTAAAGACCTGCTATAGGACCTTTCCTGCCACAAGGAATATTTTTGATGCCTTTCATTTAAAAGGCCATAGATTACTGAACATACTTTTCACATGCTTTGTATTTAGAAACTATCAGTGGTTAAAAAGAGTTTTATAATATCAGAGTAGTAATTAAATTACTTTAAAAGTAAAAGGAACAGTATGTATATATTTAAAAATATCCTTAGAATGAATGTCTAGCAAATGCCAAGGTATAATACTAGCACTTTGTAATCACTTCTTGTCAGAGCAACGGCATCAACATCCTGCTTATGAGTATGGAAAATGAAAAAAATGCATAAGTCCTTAGTCAAAATGCTAGTGATTTTTATAAAAATGTAGAATGCTAAAGGAGACAATCATTTAATCTACAAAAAGTCACTTGCTGTTACGTTATGCATGAAATATTAGTGTGGATTCTTAAATCAGATATCCACATTATCTGAAACTATATATGTTAAATTAGTGCAGTTGTTATATACAGTACAATGCAGTCATAGTGACTATTGTGTGCTACAGAAATTCCCCACACTAGAGAAAAAAAAAATATTTATCACAATAATGATTAAATATGCAGATTCCTTAAAGTGTCTATTCAAACACAATCATGACAAATGTTATTCTAAGAAGAAGCTTTTTGACTTTGGGGAAGATCAGTCATTAACTGGAAGAGCAGTAATTTTCAAATAGAGCCATGTGATGCTCTTTGAGTTTGCTCTTTGTATGCTCCAAATTTAGTCCTCCTCCCTGGACTCTGAACACCCTTGTGATGTAGCCACAGGGTACAATTTAAGACCTGAAATGTAGAGAACCTCTGGTTGTCAGCAAGAGTTTATTATAAAGCTCTCTCACTTTGTTTCTTCTTCCCTCTCTCCCCGTCCCTGAGCACTCCCAGTTTTGCAGTGTTCTCAACTTTCCTGTCGCTCAGTTTGAAACCAAAATATAGTTGGGATTTACTGTCACTCATGTACAATTACAGTTGGTACTGATACACCATGGAGATGTAAAATGAACTACTTTTTAATTGTCTTGAGTGATGAGCCATCAACATATTTGCTAGTAGCATTGGCCACTAGTTGCTAGCATAGGTTTCATTTTAGTACAATTTATTATTATGGTTGTTCCGTATTTTAAAATCAAAGATTTTTTAAAAGTCATAGCAGTTAATACCTTCATCTGATCCTGGCTCATTAGATGCATTAATTATTTTAATTAATGCAATGTTAGAGGCATTCTTACTTCTGTAGTTTTATGTGACAAAACTTATCTAATGATAAGTTCGGCACTTTGATTTTTCTTCTGTTATTGATATTTATTTAGAAACATCAATTAGGTTGGTGTTTATGACTTTCTAGAGTCTGAATTGTAGCCAAAAGACCTTAAGTAACTTTAGATGAGGCTTCTAAAGTAACAGAAAGATCTTTTATACTTCATGCTTGTTAGGTGGCTGACGTAGTACTTACTGTAACACAAAAGACTATTTCATTTTAGCTTCTGACTGCATTAAGGTCTTCTACAGTTACTATTTTTAGCACATTCAGAATCTTCTTTTCTCAGAAGGGTATTACAGAGTCCAGTATGCCTGCAGAGATTTGTAATACTGGACTTGTATCTCTCTCAGCTTTTGCTATAGCAAATGAAATTGTCATGTTGTCCATGCGATGGAAAGTCTGCTTTCTACACGTGACGTCAGCTGGACTTTGGCTTCCAGTACCAACCATTTGATTGTAGTGTAACTGCTGTGGGATTGTGCCACCACTTTGCTGCACAGTCCTTATGCTAAGGGTATAAAACTTAAAAATTAATGGTGATATTAACATTGGAAACAGTAGCTATCTTGGAAAGAGTAGTGGCTGCTTTTATTAAAATTTAAAATTTTACTGGGTTATGTCATTGTTCTACAAGCAGAATGCATTGAACTATTGTGATTTTTTTTATTGTCAAAAGGATTTTGGAACTTAATTTGCTTTCAGTATTTCATAAAAATCATTTAAACAGATAAGAAAGCATTTTAATGGTAAATGAAATATTCCTTAGCACAAAAACTAGCCATTGAAATATTTGCTTTTAAATCTCAATACACACCATCTAGCTTTTTCTTGACAACCATTATTTCAACTTCCAATTTTTCATGTAAAAGGACCCCATTTTCTGTGTGAAAACTTGTTTGTAATTTTTATTACTTGTGATCATAACAATTCAGAAAAGAAGATAAAGGCATTATAGTTTTTTGGGAACAAAGGGATCACATGAAATAAAATGTAAAATGCATGCCTTGCATTACATACATAAAACAATAAATATCATGCAGCTCTGTTTACAAATAAACTACGCTCCCCACAAATGTAAGACCACATAATGATATCCTTGCTCAAACCCTGGTATTTACTTACTTGCAAATAGTTATTAAATAGCTTATTAGGGATAAAATATTAATTTGTGTAAATTGAGTAACAACCATGCAATCCATAGTTGTGCATGCGTTTAATAGATGAAATGAAGCAGTTCCATCTTTAAGATTTGGATACTACCACCTAGAAGCTATAAAGTCCCTCTCTGTGTAGCATCATTAACATGATTTGCTGGCTTGTAGAGGTTAGAGCCAAGCTACTTAGTTCTGATGCCATTAACAAAAAGTACTCTTTCTAACTATACACTGTTTTGAATCCAAGACTAACATTTTGGATTGTAGAAATTTGAAAATATGTGGATACCTGGGAAATTTCCTCCCCAGGGAATGGGCTTTGTGCCTCCCTTCTTTAAACTTCACAAGGTTCCTGTTGGCCCATTTTTCCAGCCTGGCACAATCCTTCTCAGTGGCAGTAGGACCCTGTGATGCACACAGCGCAGCTGCACAATCAGGCAAGCTTTGCAATGTCTCTGCAGAAAATAGTGCAACACTGACATAGTTCTTAGAATTTCTGGGATTTGTTCATCCTTCCTGCAGTGACTGGAAGATGGTAACAGGCTAATCTTAGTAGCTTTACTGTTAAATTAGTTTAGTTTCTTTTCTCCTTTGAAAGTGCAAACTTTTCCTTATGAATATGGGACATAAAAATTTTTTTATTATTGTAACAATTATTGAAGAACTATTTCTTGAGTATTAAACATTGAAATAGCTTTTTTTCGTAAAGATGAAATTTAAATGCTAAACTTGTTTTCACAGAACTTGGAGTCAAAGTATCACAGTCACAAAGTGATTCTAAGAAAAGTTCATCTCACTGAAGCTCTACTGAGTGCCAAAATTTATTCTCTTCAGAATTTTTGAGGTTCTACTTCTGCTGCTCTTGAAATGAAAATATTTTAACTTGGCAGAAATACATTAATAAATTATCTGATTAGATTTATCTGAACCTGAGCAAATGCATATACTAGTCACAATTCATTCAGACAAATGTTAGAATTCTGTGCTGAGACTGGGGCATGATAATGAGGCAATACAGGAAATGATAATGAGGCAGTAATGTCCACTGTGCTTCATTTGTTTTCCAACTCTTTTGCAAAGGAACTGGATTTGAATCTTGTAGATTAAAAGCATTTGGGACTAGCTTTGTCATAATGATTTTAATTGCATTTGTGACCAATGTAGAAAGGTATACTCTTCCCTTTACCTATATTGGACTATAGAGTCAGAACTAAGACCATGTACAAAAGTGATCTCTCTCTGCCTATTTACATTGCTTATAAATTAGCTGCAATGCTTTTGGTGTCTGTGGAGTTACTCTGGCATGAAACTGGTAGAAGAGGAAAAAATTGTCTCCAAGGAGAGGTCCTTCTAAGAAGTCATACAAGGCTTTTTTTTAGCTGCCTTAAAATGTTGCATTATTAAGAAGGCTTAGTTTTCAGAGCACTCTGGGGAAAGAAACTATTAGTTGATTAGTTGGTGTCCTTTGCCAAGTCTCCTTTCACCATCTTCTGAAGTTCCTGGACCGCCAGACAGCTGCAATGCCTCTGGTGAGGAGCTCTGGCTGCAGGTCTGTGTGCAGAATCCAGAGGCTCTGCATTGCCATTACAGTTCCTTTGGAAAAGGGCACATTCTGAGGCTGCCATAGGGAAACCAAGTCAGAGCTGAAGCTCCCAGGTGAAATCGGTTTTCTGACTCTTGTTTCTCCTTTGGCAGAGACTGTAAAACACTTGTGGTTTTTTTTTTTATTGTTCTGTATAGTACACAGGATTCTTGGATTCCTGAATTATTTCATTCAGGATACTGCAGATGTCAGTAGATTTTCCTGCCCATTGAAGTTCAGACAGTTGTTAGGATTCTTTCCTGATTACCTGCTGTTTAATTAGTAAAAGGCAATTAAAAAAAAAAAAAAATATAGCATCCAATTGGCATGACTAGCAAAGGGTTTCAGGAATACAGTTTAACCAGGAAGACAGAACTGGAAATGAGTGGGCTGAGGGTACTGCCCAAGCAGTGACAAAGCAGCTTCCTGTACTAACAGCAGCAGTCAGGTTTGAATCAGGAGTGAGCAGAACTGGCAAGTCAGTCAGACACATAGGTGTACCAGGACATACCTACTGGATTATGCCATCCTGAAAAGAACAAAAATGTTGATTTTCTGTTTGAGATCCCTCTCTTCCTCTCCAGTTACTCTTAATAGTGCAAAACCAGAAGAGGTTGGGGTTTTTCTTTCACCTACTCTTGTCCATAAGAGGAAAAGAAGAAATGCCAGCAAACACAGGCAGGTTCCTACCTGTTTGCCACACTGGCCAGAGCTTTTGCAGTAGTGGCTCTGGTGCTAAGCGTGACCAGCTGTGACAGCAGCACACAGCAGCTGCAGTCCTAACACCTCCAAACATCCAGGAGGGTCAGCCAAATGAGGACATGGTCACCCTAGAGTGAGAGGCAGAGGAAGGACAAATTGCCAGCATCTGCTGGATCTTGAATGACAGGAAACTAGTTTAGAAACAACATTATATGAAAAATTACCAAGAGGGGATGGCAAAAGAGAGACAATGAAAATATTTACTTTTTGCACTTTTTAATTCTAAAGTTCCTGAGTCTTTTTAAAAGTAAATACTCCTGAATTAAGTTCAGGCTTATTGTTTGATGCCATTAACCCTTCTTGTTAGTTAATGTTACAACCCTACTTCAGCTGCAATCAGTATTAACAACATATGGGAAATTGTGCAAAAGAGAAATCAAAACATTATTTATACTCAGATTACAAGTTAACGTAAAATCCTTTGTAAAGTTTAGATGCTCCAAGGTTAAGCATCTAATGTTTAGATTTTTTTTATTGCGAAGTCATACTAAGTTCATCACAGGTAATACTGTTGTAATGTTCTGTAATTCCCACAACCTGTTCTCTGAGTTATGTGAATGCTTTGAAAATGGCTTATTATTGTTAAATTCCTGCCTGTCTTCTTTCTTTTTAAAGGGTTTGATAGAGTTGTACACATCTATTTTGTGCCTCCCGCCATTGTGCATTTCTGCATGTTCAGTTCTAGAACTCACTCGAGCAGCTGATGCATATGTACATAGCTGTATGTAAGTGCGTATGAATGTATATGTTTATACCTCTCTGTCCAAATATATTCTGTACAGTGTATAGAAAATGTGTAGTGTATGTATATATGTACAGATATGGAGCCATTATTCATCCATTCCATGTGCTAAAGTTTTTTATTAATTTGCTAATCCAGAGCTTCCTAATTTGGTGAATCCTCACAAATGTCAGAGCTTTGCACCTTTTTTCTAAACCAGTCTGACTTCACTATTTGCTGTTCAAAACTGACAAATATATTCCATGAATTTTCTGGTTTTTACATTATTCTCCTTACCTTTTCTCATTTGACTTATAGAGGTCTGCCAGTAATAGTTAATTGAGCATATAATGCCTGTTAAAAATAATGACTACATAACTATGTCATTAACTAAACTGACATAAACACTAACATAAAATACTTCCCTGCTCATTATATACTCATCCTCTTCCAGCCTCCTGAGATACTTTTGTAAAGTTGTATTTTTTGTGAAGCCTGGTAAGAGACTGATTTTTTAAGTCTTCATCTATGGTGAACTGAAAGTAAACCAAGTTGCCATTTATACTGAACTGCAGCATAGAGAACAGGAGGTAATGGATGCTGTTTAATAAATCAATATTCATATTGTCACAATGATCACATTAAATCAACCTGTGAGTTAGAGACTCTGCTATGCTCAGTGAAACAGCAGCTCTGGTTCAATGGTAATTTAAGATTAGGGACATTGCAGGTAGTTAATTTCTTAGCAAGCATCAAGACATCTTCAGTATTTTCACAATGCATTTCAATTGTATATTCACTTTCCAAAGTTCTTCTCTTTATTTTCCAGCCTAAACTAAACACAGCTAGTTGTTTGATTTAGTTGTCAGACTAATGTCCCGTTCCACGTTCTGCCCTTTCCTGGGTCTGGAATTTGTGCAGCTCCTGCACTGCCTCTGCTCCTGCACTGACAGTCCCACTCTCCATCTGGGACATGGGCACATGGTTGGGAAATGCGATATGAAGACAATATCTTATTCATAATGAGGACTCAAACATATACATTATGAAAGTATAAACACTTCTTGTTCTCCTTCCCTTTTGATGAAGTTAAAAAGGAAGCCTTCCTTAAAGTAAATCTGTTAACTGTGGGTTTTTAAAAAAGCATTTCACAGACCCTGCAGGACAGTAGTTCAGCAAGTATTGTTTCTGTCATTAGAAAGGTGAAGTAGAATTTTCTGGGCATTTACTTCCACCTTTTGTGCTCACTGTGGTAAAGACTTGTGTATATTTAATCAGGTAATGAGACATCTATCAAAAAAAGTGAACTTCATGCATGCTTAAAGTGAATCACAAGTCTGAGGAAAGTTTGCTATGGAAAATGCTGAGAATGTTCTATTTCTTGGTGTATTGGTTAGTGAGCATTCATAAGCTTTTATTTAAAATATAGGAATAAACCTATAGCATTTCAAAACCTTATTTCTGCAATTTTCAGCAGGAAAAATATTTAAATTAATGTCAGAAATTTCTGTGACAGGTGCTCCTTCATTGGTGTATGGACGGTTGGTGCTGTTTGAATGCTTTCCTCTTTAAAGATGAATAGAAACCTGAAAGTCTGTTAAAGTCATTGTACTGTGGGAACAGTTATAAAGTTTAGGAAGCCAATTGGGGCATTAATCAAGACTGAATCTGTTTAAAAATTCAACTGTGAATTCAGGGAACAAAAAGGGCAAAGTTCAGTAAAACTGAGTGTACCATATCCACATTTGAATTGTTTGTATTCTGAAGGACAAAATACACTCAAATTTAGTGGCAATAAAGGCTCTGCAATAATAAAACAGTTCCATTTTACAGTATTTTGATGATTGCAGGTTAAAGTAGGACTGAATAAATTTCAAACAAAAAGCACAGTCTTTCAGAAGAAAACATTTTACTTATGGACTGTATATGTTGAATTTTTCATATACGGAATCAAGATCAAATGTTGGAATATTTTTAATAGTTAATCTGTACTCTGAAATACACTGGAAGCCAGTGGTCATAGTTTCCTAACTGAAAACTGCACGTTATTGGCATATTAGGGAGTGCTCAGCTCCTACAAAAACAGCAAATTTTTATAAGAGGAAGCATCTACTTTCAATTCCTTGGGATATTTTCTGGAAGTCTCTGTTCCTTATAATTTAGAAAACTATTGTTTATGTTTATTTTTAAAACTTTGCAAAAGTTGTTGGCTTCTCACGGCTTCTTTTGTGAAATCAGTATTGTGTGTGATAACATTTAAAAATAATAGCATGTTCTTTTTTTAAACTAAATTTTATATCCAAACAATGTCTTCAGTCACAAAGAGGAATTTGCATTGTTGTGTTTGTATATAGCGTATTGCAGTGCATGATTTTGCTTATGCATTTTATTAAATGCTGTTGTGTTATTATATTGTTGCCGTCAATAGTAGTAGCTAAATGAAGTTTCTACCATTAAAGTGAATTACAAATATAACTGCATTCTTGAGTTTTATTTTGAAGTTCATTTAATTTCCTTTTGAACAGGAGCTGTCTAAGCCAAATACATAGTTTACAATCTTTTAGGGAGAAACAGCATTTTGACTTCACCACAGTGATTACCTTAGGAGAGATTTAAACCGGGTCTGGAATAGAAAAAAAAATCCCATTAACTTACTGACTTCAAGAAGCTTCTCTAGGAGGAGAGAGGGCTTTTCCTACGGTTTTAATTCATCTTTTAGTAGCCCCGAAACTGTCGCTGCTGTGAGCGGGGCCCCTCACACGGCCGGGCCCCTCACACGGCCGGGCCCCTCACACGGCCGGGCACCGGGCACAGCGTGCGCACTGGGCGGGCACTGCCGGGAGCGCGGGCGGCGGAGCCTCCAGCAGGGGGCGCGCGGGAGCGCTGCCGCCCCTTCCGGCCGCCGCCAAGATGCCGATGAAGGGCCGCTTCCCTGTGCGCCGGACTCTGCAGTACCTCAGCCAGGGCGACGTCGTGTTCAAGAGCTCGGTGAAGGTGATGACCGTGAACTACAACACGGCAGGAGAGCTGAGCGAAGGCGCGAGGTGAGCGCGGGGCGCGGCGGGAGTGCGAGCCGTCCCTGCAAAGACGCCAGGGCTTGCGCGGGCCGCGCCCTCCACGGAGACAACGGGCCAGCCCTTGTGTGATTTTCTCTTTCTTTCCAGAAAGTTCGTGTTTTTCAACATCCCCCAGATCCAGTACAAGAACCCTTGGGTGCAGATCATGCTGTTCAGGAACATGACGCCCTCGCCCTTCCTCCGGTTCTACCTGGGTAGGTCCCGCCAGCCGCGGGGGCCGCAGCAGCCGCAGAGCAGTGGCTGGGTCGCAGCGGCAGCGTCGTCACCGCTGCCTTTGTGCTGTTCTCACTCGGCCCTGCCTCGGCTGCAGCGGGGAAAGAAGCTGCTTGATCGGAAAATAGCTTTAGCCCTTAGCAGCTCCCCTAGACTCACCCGCATGGAAATTTTGCTTTTCCACGTAAAACACTGCATTGCGCATTAACTGCAGAAGGGAAGCAGATCCTTCATTCGTGTGCGTTTAAATCCTCTGTAAACGGTAGGGGGAAGTGGTATAATTTGGTACATTATTACGAATTTTTGTTGACAGACAACGGAGAACAAGTTTTGGTTGACGTGGAAGATAAAACCAACAAAGAGATAACAGAGCACGTTAAAAAAATCCTGGGAAAAAGCAAGTAAGTAGCAAGCAGTAAGCTAACGTATCATCTAGTATACATAATACAAACTTTTCCCAGACCAAACTGACACGAGCGAGGTAAAGTTCTCAAAGTAGGAACTGGAAATCCATCTTTCTAGGCCCAAGGAAGGGAGAGGAAGTATTGCAATTCAGACTTCTAATAGTAACAAACAGATCTCTTTTCTAGAGAAATGCTTGAAAAAGAAGAAAGAGAAAAGAAAAAACTATCACATCCAGCAAACTTTGGGCCCAAGAAGTATAATCTGCGAGAATGCATGTGTGAGATTGAAGGCCAAGTTCCCTGCCCTGCTTTTGTACCATTGCCCAAAGAGATGAGGGGAAAATACAAAGCTGCTATGAAAAATGAGGCATGAGCCTCAAGATCTCAAGTCATGCAGCTGTTTTTCCTCAGGCCTAGAAAATGAAGCAGAGACAAGAATTCAGTGAGAGACAAGAACCAACAGTTCCTGGGAACAGGAACAAGCAAGTTTATTCAATACAGACAACTGCCTTATAAGTCTTCTTACAGCTACAACTAGAATAAGTGAAAAATAAATAAAAGTTAAAACTGGCACCAAGAAAAGCTGTGGTTCTACAAAGTATTGCTGTCAACACTGAAAAACAAAATTACTAGAGTCTTATTTCTTATTTATGCCTGCAGGTAACCAGTTATGACAAAACCAAGATTATGTTTTCTTTGGGATAGAGAGGCTAGACTAAAAAGTTAAATCTTAGAAGCAGTGCAGAATTCCATAATTTCTAGAAAGTGGTGCAAAAGTCCCTATTGTACTAACCAAAGACAGCCAAATGGTAATACAACTCCAGTCTCAATTGAATTGTCCTAATTTACATAGTTACTAATCAGAATCAGTTCAGAGTTTCATTTCCACCAAGATACAACTTTTGTAATTGATACTGCAGCTCTTAGAAGCACAGCTCAAGTCAGGAGCATCAGCAGGAAAGAATGGGAAAACTGGTATATGAAAGGTAGGTTTTACAGTTATCAAAAAAACTCCTTCTGAATCATCACAGCTTCTGCCTCACCAAACAATTACACCATACCTGTAATATGTATAAATGTGATAAACTGTACTTTCCTGTACAGACCTTTCTGTCAGGCTTGTATGTACAAGTCACTGTAGAACTGTATTGCAGCATTTATGAACTCATGTTTGAATACAAAATTTCATACCGATTCAAGCATCCTGTACAAAGTGTCAAGGACAAACACAACACAAAATAAACATGTTGTTTTATTTCATCTCTTTTTACAAAATTTTCATACCGAGTAGTGCATGCAATTGTAACAAAAGTCAATGCTAATTAGTTATTGAGCTTTATGCTTAAGCCATCCTCATTCCCTTGTGCCTTGCAAGCCTCGCAGCAGTCCATATACCAGCAAAGGTCTTCACTTTGCAGATAATTTTAGTATTGGCTGTCTAGTCTATCACATTTAACACTGACAAAGATCATGAGGTATGCTAGTGTTACTTGCTTGTAAAAATAATACATTACATATACAATAAGAATAGTTATTAATGTATTAGCCAGAAAATATAAACAAGGCAGGATAGTTTCAACAAGGAAAAAAAGCACTTTTTAATGTGAAAGCTGAAGCCACTGAAACATTTTTTCACGCTGATACCTAAAAAAGTATCAGGTTAGAGTGCAGGAAGCAATCCTGACTAGCAACCAAGTCTGTCCTAAATAACTGCCTTATCCTATCTTGCTTAAATAATTCCAGGGATTCTGTTTAGCTTTCAACAGTTTTTGGTACCTTCATGAATCTGATGCCAAGCACCTATGTTCTGTCAAGACCTTTCAGAATCCTCTGTTGTTCTTGGTGCAGAATAACACCTGGGGACTCAGTCAGCTCTAAAAAATACAAGAACTTCATGGTCTTAAGCCAACCTCTTCTGCACACCTTTCAACTCCAGATTCAGGCTACATCAGACAGACCATCAGGTATCCCTGACTGGCTGGTCTGAGTTACTTCAAACCCCTACTAGTAGTATTAAGTGAGATATAGGTGGTTTGGTCTTTATAAACAACAGTTCCACAAACCCCTACCTCCACATACAGCTAGGAACAAGAGTACCTGCTCTTTAGGTAACAGAGTTACTTGTCTCCAAAATCTTAAGCAGTGCTGGGGTTACAGCTATGCCAATATCAGAGACATAATTAAAAGATATATCCCATTACACAGAACTTCACACTTCTGAGTAAGCCTACTACTATTAGTGCTATACAGTGTGATCTGCCTGATTTTCCCCTATTTCAGCCTTAAACAAAGAAACCCTTTAAGATTAACTCACCACCACCACTGGCTGCAAACTGATGCCTGCTGATAGGCCTGTGCCTCTCAAAGATGAAAATCAAAGCAGTTCAGATTACATCCTTTTCAAAAACCCTGCATTTGCCCAGCTGTTGGCCCTCACACAAGTACTAGCTGTCACCTGGTCATCCTCCAGGCCACAGGATCACAAGAGGTCTTCAATCTGAAGTTCCTTATTTAAAACAGGTATGCCTGATTCTCATAAAAACTGAGGGGAATCTAAAATGAGAGAGAATTGCCATTTGGCACTATTGCAGCCACAGACTTAGTCTCCCAGCTTTCACAAAATTCCAGTGGCATCTCAGCTTTCCATGATAAACAAAATTTTTTGTTGCTTGAGTGCTACAAAAAAGTGTTCCAGACTCACAACAAACGTGATCATTCTGTGACCCAGAGGATTTAAAGGAATGTGCAGATTCCATAATGTAATTAGCAACTGGAGGTTCACCCTTTATATTACAGTTAGAAGTGGTGCTGGCCTCATCTCCTTTCCCTGAAAATGAGCAAATGCTTGCTCCCATGTGAGCAGGTCTGCACCCAGCGTGACGCTATGACACCATGGTTTGCGCTCAGAGCAAATAGGAAACCAGCAGTGATGAAAAGCATCCAGGTCTTACTTGAGCATCTTCATACAGACACTAAAAAGTCACTCATACAAAGATCAGTTAAAAAGTTCTCAGTCTTAAGACCCCTTTTATGTATTTATTACCATTGCACAAACTTGATCTGCGAGCCTGTACATTCAGCACCCAGGAGAATCAAAGCAGCTCTTTAACAGCACATTGTCAGAACACCATTAGTAGTTCAACTACCCTGGGTCAGGTGAGTATAAGAAGTTTTAGGAAAGTTTTCATCTCTTTTTAGTCAAAGCCACACTTGAAAGGCCAACACTACAGCAGAAAGCAGGAAAGAGAGCAAACCAACATTCCAACCACTTCCACATCATAGTTCCATATTAGCACTTAACCCCTGGACCAAAATAAGCATTCCATAAGACCAGTTAGCAATAAAAGTGCTGTAAAAAGTTATTTTAAAATTTCTTACTCTAAGCTTTTGAGACCAGCAGCATTTCTCAGTAATTCTTTCTTCAAGACTGCGTAGTAGTGGCAATGTCTAAATGAAAGTGCTTTAAAGTCAGGATTCTCCCAATTCCCTCGTGTCATCTGTATTCCTGTCTGTAAGTATCTGCTTTACCTTCCCATATTTAACAGCAGTCTGAATTATTACACAGCCCTGTTGCTGCTTCAGCAGTTAGATTTCTCCTTCTGCTTTGCTAATGTGTACTTCAGTTCCTTTAAGTTCTCTGTCAGTACCTCCACCTCATCCAGTCGTCCACTGTGTTTGGCATCAAATATATAAGCTTTAATATTATCTATCTGTTGGAGAAGTAGCTCTTCCTCTATAGCCTCCTCTCCAGAGATCTCACTGCCATCCTCCACTTCAAAGGGATTGATAGAGGATCCCTCTTCAAATGGATTCCCTGGATTCCAACTGCTCCCAGGCTTTTCAAATGGATTTTCATCCTCTTCAAAGGGGTTTGAAGTACTGCCAGGTGCTCCATTACTTTGTTCATCCTCCTCCTCACTTTCAAATGGATTATATTCTTTTTTATCACTTTGCTGAGCTGTGTTAGAGAAAGAAACCACTGGAGATATGTCTTTGGCAAATGGGTTACTGGGATCTTCCTCCACCTGAGGGGTATCTGCTTCATCCTCAAAGGGGTTTAGACAGGCTGGCTGATCCTGGTCTTTGTCAAACTGTGGGACATTCTGGGGTTTGAGTGTGAAGGTCAAGTGCTCTTTAGCTGGCAGCTGCTCAACAGCAGGAGTTTCAAAACTTGTGTCCCCTTTGGTACAAGTAACATCCAAATGCTGTTTGACTTCTCTGAAGTCTAAGGAGCAAGTCCTTGAATGCTGAATCATGAATTTATGGTGCTCTCTTTCCCACTCCTTTTCACAAAGGACCTGAAGTTCCTCCCTCTGTATCTCCTCCTCTTCTGCCTGTTTTTTAGAAAGCTCAATAGCTTTCAGAGTTTGCTGTTGATCATATTCATCCTGAAGCTGCATCAGGTTCTCTTGCAATGTATGGACCTCATCTATCCTATTAGCTGCCTTTGCTTGCTTAATAAAGGATGTAATATTGTCAATCTGCTGAAGAAGTGGGTCTGCTCTCTCGCTCTCTCTTGAAATGCTAGATGTGGGTAACCAGCCTTCAGATTTTCTGACTGTTCCTTTTTTTATGTAAGTTTCATCACCATTAACTGCAGATGCAGATATGGAGATAAACTCCTTCTCCTTTTCCTCTTGTTTCCCCTGTGTTTCAAGAGCAACCTAAACCAAAAAAACATGTAGTAAGAAAACACCATGAGCTTGAAAAAATTAATTCTAAGTAGCCATAGGTACAAGTTAGCTGATCTTAAGACATTGCTGGCTGAAGATAAAAGGGATCAGGTACCATTTTGGTTACTTTGCAGAAGATTCTTACTTTCATACCATTCCTTGGATGCTTCCCATGAGTTTGTGATGATACTGATGAAAAACCCATGATATCTGCCTCTACAAACCTGAGGCAAAGTAGGAGCAGCAATTCTCTTTATAGAGGAAAAAAAAATGCAGCTGTGCAAGGGGTGGTCTAGATTGATTTAGACATTAATTGTATTACATATGACTACAGCAGACACCTGTAATAGAACATATAGTGTTTAACATCACTGATTTCACTGGCTTTTGGAGTGGAATGATTCTTATTTCTCAACTTATACCTCAAGAAAACATTAGCTTTAGTTTATAACTAATGATGTCCTCCCTCCTAAAGCAAAAAAAGCCTCTCTCCCTGCAGAGGCATCTTTATTCTAGTATGTCCCCTTTCCTACCAACAAAACAAGTTTCCAAATTCTACTTAAGTGAATGAATTCCTGAACCAAATTTCCAAGTCAGTGTAAACTAACACACTCACTTCAGGGCTTGCTCTGCACGCACAGTAGCAAGAAACAGCCCATGCACCCATGTCCCTGCTGCTTTCTAGTAGTATCCAGCTCTGTGCCCACCTACTTCTGTTCTGGAAAGAACAAAGCAGCAGCTAGGCAAAACCCTGGAAAAGGGGATGAAACAATATGGATGAAAAAATAACAAACTGAAATCCAGTGTTGAACGCAACTACTCATACCCACAGAGCTCCCAGGATTGTATCTATGAGAAGGTCTGATACAAGACATAACAGATCCCAGCTGGTCTTACCATATGCAGTCT